AGGGAGACGGGCGGGTCAGTGAGCCAATAAGAGTCAAGAGTAAATGGTACGTAGGCACGGGGTGGAGGTTTGAAGGCGCCAATAGAGAGGCGGAGCTACATGCGAAGGACGAAAAACTAGCCAACAAATGGAGAGCAAGAGAGTGGTGCTTGAAGATGGGCAGAATGAAAAGCCAATGGGAGAGAAGTAGTAGCGCCTCCCTGAGGGAAGGGAGGGGAGAGAAAAGCGGGCAGAGCAACCAATGAAAGAAGGGAATGGCAGGGGGACTTGCGTAGTGCAGGAATCCACGAAGGGAAGAGGAGGTGGGCCTTAGAAGTGATTAGTAAGCCAGTATGTTCCAATAAGGCCAATAGATGGTGAGGGTAAAGGGGTCATGAAGGTCAGACAAGCTCACCAATCCCGGAGGAGGTGATCGATCTGCCATCTCTCCCCAACCCGTGTGGTGAGAGAGGTGGTGTGGAATTTCACGGAAGGAAGGGGGCGGGCGGAAGCAATGGAAAGCCTTGCAGGCCTTCTTGCTGGGCCTCAAAAGAGAAGTGTGATTTCCTCACCTATGAGGGAGGGAAATAGGAAGGGGCAGGGGGATGGCAACACGTGGGTGGAGGTAGCTTCTGGCACTTGGCCAGGGTGGAAAAGGGCAGGGAGGAGTTTATTAGGTATTTCACGTCTAATTAATCAAAAACTCCTGTTGACTCTTACCTTCAAAATATATCCATAATCTTCCACGTCTCACTGTCCTCTCCGCTGGACATCTTCACAGCTTTCTACCCGCATCCCCATTCTGTTCTACTCACAGCATTGGGAAGGATCCTGTTAAATCCTAAATCTGGACACGGCCCTCCTGTGCTCACAGCCTTGCCTGGGCACCCATCTCACTCACCTTAAAAGCCAAAGCCCTCACCAGGCATGACGCCAAGCGTCACCTGTCCCTTCTCTGACCTCCCACCTCCTCCCACTCCCCACCCCCAACTGCATTCCAGGCACAAGCCAAATTCAGGGCCTTGGTACTTGCTTTCCCCCTGGAGTTTTCCACCCACACACACTGATAATCTTACCTGGCCAGCTTCTTAAAGTCCCCTTTCTTATCTCTCTTATAGTACCCCGTGTTTTTCTTACCACAGTCTGTAATTATTAGTTTATATGTTTATTGACTGTCTCTTCCTCTAAACCACAGGACGTGACCATGACTTATTCATGCTGTACACACATCACTTAGAGCCCTACTAATGTTAAGAAACATTTATTGAGGAAATAATAGAAACGACATGAGACACTTTACTCTCATTTTATGCTTCTCTGCTCAAAATCTTCCCGTGACTTACACCTCATCCAGAGTCAAAGCTGATGTCCTCACAACCTAGTCCACAGGGCCCTTTATGACCCCATTACTGACCTCTCTGACATCACCTCCTACCACTGTCCCTTGCTCACTCCACTGGAGCCCCACTGACCTTCTTGCTGTTCCTCAAACACACTAGACATGGCTCTACCCCAGGGCCTTTGCACTGGCTGTTCCCCTGCCTGGAATGTTCTTCATCCCAGTTATCTGCATGTCTCATTCCCTCACCTCCTTAACTCTATTCCAATATCACTTCTTAAATGAGGTCTTCTCTGACAACCCTACTTACCACAGCTACATTTCTTCCTCTACTGGCACTCCTAATCCCCCTCACCCTGGTCTACCTTTTGTTTTTACATTGCACTTACTATCACCTGATGTCCTACCTTGTAAGGCTACTGTGAGGATAGATAACTCACTTACATATTTTTGTTATTGTTTGAAGTCTGTCTTCTCTGTCACAAGGCAAGCACCACAAAGATAAGGAGCTTTGTTTTGCCCAATACAGTGTATCACCAAAGGCTAGAACAGTACATGTTAATGGACATTTTTGGGTTGGGGGAGGGGGGACCATAATGTCTTTGGTACTTAATCTAGTGGGCGAAAGGTCTGTCTTCGCGGTAGGGGCAGCTGGGATGAAGCTGACCCGAGGACTATAAATGAAGAAGGAAGGAAGAAAAGGCATGGCAGGCAGGGGGTAAAGCCAAGGTGGAAGCATAGCAGCCCAGCCCCCCTCCCTAAGGGCACAACCTACGTCTGGACCCCCTCTCCTTTCTGTGTCTTTTGTCTCCACAGGTCAGTGCGGCCCGGGAGGACCCCATGGGTGGGCAAGAGCTCAGAAGCCCTGCCCCCCTTTCCACCCCTATACCCCAGGTCTCCGCCCCTCAAGCCAGGAGACTCTAATTCTCTTTGCTGTTTATATATATATATATTATATATAAATATCTATTTATCTGTCTGAGCCCTGCCCCCACTCCACACCCCTCATGCATTAGGGGCCTGACCTTGAGTGGGCCCCTCTCCTAACCCCACCCCTTCCCTTGCATCCCTTGGCCCCTCTCTGTTCCCTGGCCCTGTGCCCTGAGGTTGGGGCACTCTGAAAGGGGGACAGGGAAAAGACAGGTCTCAGCTGTGTGGGGAGGGTCGGTGTGACTTCAGACTCTCTCCCCTCTCTCCCTTCCCTTCTCCCAACTGGCCTTGACTCCTCCAGCAATGCCTGAACAGGGGCCATTAGGGGAAATTCAACCCTGAGAGGAGAGAAAGGCAAACTGGGGGACTTGACCCAAGGTGGACTTGTAGAGGAGCTCTGGGGTGGAGAGGACTAGTAAGCAAGGGGTTTGGGTTCCAGACATACTGGAACTAGAGTCTAAGGAAGAGGGGTGCCCTAGAGCATTCTGGAGCAGGGCTTGGAAGGAGGCTGAGGGCGTGGTTCTAGAATGGGTGGAGCTTTGAGTGAGGCAGGGGTCGGGGCCCAAAAGTGGGCAGGGTTTGGAATAGGACAGGGTTTTATGGAAGGGGTGTGACCTGGGACCTGGGGACTGGGTTCTAGAGGGGTGGGGCCTGAACCAGGCAGGGGGTGAGGCTCCAGAGTGGGCGGGTCTTGGATTGGGACCAGAGTGCACGGAAGGGGTGTAGCTAGGAATATTCAGGAGCCTGAGTTTGATTCTAAGCGGGGGCAGATCTTGTGCAAGGCAAGAAGTGGGATTCAGGAATGGGCCAAGTTTGACATGAGGTCGTGGTCTGGGTTCTAGACAGGGCGGGGCGTAGAGCGGGTGTTCATGGTGGTTTCAGAAGGGGCAGCTCACCCCAATGGAGCAGTGAAAAAAGTGTTTTAAAGTAGGCGGGTTTGGCAGTGGAGGGGGGAATATCCCTAGTCAAAGCTGAGGGCTGAGGTGGCCTGGGAGGAGCTGAGAGGTAAGGCTTGGAAGGTGAGGGGTGGGATCCAGAGAGAAACACCCCCCACACCCTTGCCCACCCCCGCGTGATGGGACAGCTAGGTAGTCAGAGGACAGAGCCAACGGGTCTGTGGGGCCGGCCCACCCCTCCCTCCCCTTTCCTTGCCTCCTCCCTCCGTCCACACCCGCGCCCGCCCCAGGGTGGCCGGAGGCCCGGTCTGGAGTCCCTCTCCTGCACCCTCCGCTGTGTCTGTGACGTCGGTAGTGCCTGTGATTGTGTATGCCATTTTGTCTGGCTGTGGTCCCTCCCCCTCTCCTCCAGACGCCCCCCCCCCTTTTCCTAGCCCTTCGGTATTGTTTGAAGACCTCCCCGAGGAAGAACAAATAGGATTAATTCTCCTCCCCTAAATAAACTCCTCAACCACCTAGTCCACCCGGCTCTGATTTCTCAGTGTGTCTTTTTTCTTTGGAGGGGGGAGGAAGAAGGAGAGGTGGGGGAGAGGCGGCGAAAGGAAGCTCCGCCCCTGACCTGCTGGATGGACCTGCCGTTCAAGTCACCCCATCACTTTAGGTCCCTCCAGCCGGGTTATGCCAAGCTGCAGCCTCCGTGCAGCCTCCCTTGTCGATCATTCTAAGTCCCGCTCCGAGTAGCCCTGCCCACTGCCCCACTACTGGCGGGCGAAGGCCCGGTCTTTCTAGGGTTCGGTTCTAATTCTGGTCCACTAGCCGCTCCCCTTCCCAGGCCTTTGTGGAGCCCTGTCCTCAAACCCCAAGGGGCCCGACTAGGACCCCTATACTTCACAGCGAGCCCTCCCCCTACCTACCCGCCTCGTATTCTTCAGACCCAGCTTTCTCGCCATTTCCTTTCCGCGCCCCAACTGGAGAACTGGGAGACCCGCTGGGCGGCAAGGCCAGGAGGCGGAGCACGGGGGTGACTCGTTACCTCATTCATTCATTCCCTTTAACCCCCTCCCTGGCTCCTCCCTGGGGCAGGGAGGGGCGGGAAGTGACTGGGATGTGCGTAATGGAACTGGGTACGGAGGAGGTACCCTGTGCCCACGCCGAAAGGCCGGTTGCTACTGCCGCCACCTAGCCTAATTAGAAACCCCCGCCCGGCGCCCGAGTTCTGACGGCGGGCCGGGGACCCCCTCCTCCCAGCCCTGAGGCACAGCGAAGCCTGACATGCGGAGGAGAGACTCCCAGCTATGGGACTGAGCTCAGGGAAAGGGATATCTAACTGGAGAGAGAAAAATAGGAGCCAGGAAAGGAAGGCTTTAAGATCTATTTCTCAGGACTTAGGGGGACAGGGCAGCTGGGCCTGTAAGGAAGGGGAGGGAGCGAGGAGTGGGGCCTCGGAACCTGGCCAGTGACTTTAACCTCTTCCCGCCATAAGTCTCAAATAGTCCTGGCTCTGATAGGGTTTGGGAGTGGGGGCTGTGGGGGTGTTTAAGAGCTAGCTCTCTGATGGTGGCGAGGGAGCACCAGCTGGGACTACGATGGGCTTGGAGATCATTCTTGCAGCATTCATCCGGGGGAAAGAGACCCTCGGAACATCACCGGGGGGGGGGGGGGGGGGCGGGCAAGAGGTGGCTTTAACCCCTCCTCCAAATAAACATCCAAGAGAAACGGACACGAAACGCCAACACAAATACCCTAGCGCACCACTTCCAAGTCCCTCCTCCTCCACTACAGAGCCCTCAAGCCCTGGAATAGTCCGTGAGAGGCCATGTGTTACCCTGGGGCTCTGAGGGCCGAGGCTTCCGAGGCCTGGCTCCGGCCCAGGGCAGGAAGGCTGGGGAGCTCTCCCGTGTGGCGCTCCTGGGCTGCCTGCCCCTCACCTCTAGGCAGGGGGCGCCTTGGCCCGGGAGTGAGTGCAGGGCCAGGGGCGGGCCGTGCGGGGCGCGCTCCTCCCACGCCGGTGTCAGATTTACGGAACAGAGCTCCCAGGCCGGACGCGCGGTGGCCTGACGGCCGCGAGGATTCCATCGGCCTGACCCTGCCCGGCTTGACCCTTCCCGGGCGCGCCATGTTCGCGCGTGGGTCCCGGAGGCGCCGCTCCGGGCGCGCGGTGAGCGAGGCTCGGGGCAGCGGTGGGAGTCAGGGGTAAACTGAGGCCCAGGAGAGGGGGCAGGGGATTGGGATAGCGAGGAGGCGCTCCACCGAGGGTCTGGGAATCCCCGTCCCCAGATTCCCAGAACGGAGGGGCTGGGGCTGCTGGAAGCGTGCGGATTGAGGAAGGTGGCACCTGCTCCCTAATCACCTCTCTGCACACTTCTATCAGCACCCCAGGGACCTGGTGGTCTCCCCTCTCGTGTGAATTCTGGGAGGGGATTCTGAGGGCCAAAAGACCGGATCCTGGGGTCCTGGACTGAGCGAGGACTTCCTGAGCTTCGGAGGGAAGGGGGAAGGGACTTTCCCTGTACCTTGGCAGAAGGCGATCTTAGGGGTGAGGTCCCACACTCCTGGGGTGCCTGAATATTAAGGGTCCAGGGATTGGGATGTGGGGGAAGAGGGCTTCCAGGCTTCTACTTGAACCAGGAGCTTTCTGAGTTCCTAGATAGCAGGGTTGCTCTACCTCTGGAAGGGGTCTTTAAGTGGGGTCTGGGTTTGGTGGTCCAGAGGAGTGAATAGCCCTAGGATATGAAGGGTAAAGGCCAAGGCTTCTTGCGGTGGGGGTTATTGAATGGATCAGGGGCCTCCTGAGATCCTGAAGGAGGGTCTCCAGTTCCTTGAGTATGAAAGGGGGAAGCCAGGGTTTGGGGGAGGGGCTGTTGAGATTCAGAAAAGAGGGGCAGGGTTCATGTGGGGATCCCAGGTAAGGACGGGGCCTCAGACTCCTACCCTGTGGAACTGGATGCTGCTGGCCTCCTGGGTGGAGAAGGGGCCAAGATGAGGCCTGGGAGGAGACACTGAGATTAGGGACTCTGTGCTCCGGTGGGGAGAGTATTCTGAGTTCTGGGGGAGGTGTTTGAGGCCTGAAGGAGTCAGAGGCAGGTGGGAGGTATCCAAGGCTGGGTGAGGGGGAAGGGAATTCCCTGAAAAGGGGGTATATAGGGAGGTGGCCTCAGCTGCCCCGCCTCTACCTCAGTTGTGTCCTCCTCCCCCGCGCTGCCGGCGCTGTCCCAGCCTGCCCAGCGCTGCCCTGGTGGGACAGGCCCCAGCGTGCGGTCGCGGGCCTTGGAGTGGAGAGGTGGGCGTTGACTTCTCTCTCCCCGCCCCCGCGCCTCGCCTGGTCCCGCGTCCGCCCCCACCCTCTTCAGCCTCCAGAGGCGGAGGACCCAGACCGCGGCCAGCCCTGCAACTCCTGCAGGGAGCAGTGCCCCGGCTTCCTACTGCATGGATGGAGGTAGGTGACCATCCCAGGGCCTCGCCTTTGTCAGGGCCCCGCCCTCAGGGGAAACCCCTAGAAGCTCCGGCCACACCCCTAGGCTTGAGCCCTGTCCGCCCGAGCAGCTCAGTTGGGGGAGGAGCCTCACGCTCAGACTCAGGGCCCCGCCCCCTGACTCGTTCCCAATTGTCCTGTTTCCAGGAAAGCTCCACCCGCCACATAGCCCCGCCCCCAGAAGTGTTGTCGCATGCCACTGAGTCCCATCCCTAGGGAAATCCTCAGTCCCAGGCGCTGAGCATTGTCCCCTGACATCCAGCGCCTCTCAGGCTCAGAACTCCTCTCCCGGACCCAGTGTCCTATCCTCCCACTGGAGCCCTGTACCCCAAACATCTCATAAAATACCACCAGCCGGCACACTCAGGCCCTACCCACAGGCTCAGAGCCCCCACCCGCCCACAAGTTCACAGCCTCCGCACAGGCTAGAGCCCGTCTCTAGGGAAAGTTCCCCCACAACCTCCAAAGCCAGTCCTGAGGAGAAACCCCTAAATTTATAACTCCAATCTCAGACTCAGAGCCCCGCCCCTATTCAGGCCCATTGCCAGGAAAGTCTGGCGTCCCAGAGATAAAAGTCAGAGGATGGCCTGCAGACCCCACGGCCCCGCCCCCAGCTCACAGCCTCGCCCTCCACTCCTGTCTTACCCACAGCAGTCCCGCCCCCGGGGCCCACAGCCTTGTCCTGGCTCGGGAGTCCTTGGGTGGTGCTAATCTGCCTGTCCCTGCCCCTTAGTTGGACGTCCTTGGGCTGCCCAGGACTCCAAGTGCGCTACCCCTTAATCATTGACCCCCATCCCGGCCCCCTCAGAAAGATCTGTCAGCACTGCAAATGCCCAAGGGAGGAGCACGCTGTGCACACGGTGCCTGTGGACCTGGAGCGCATCATGTGTCGGCTAATCTCAGACTTCCAGCGCCACTCCATCTCCGATGATGACTCAGGCTGTGCCTCGGAGGAGTATGCCTGGGTGCCCCCTGGTCTCAAGCCAGAGCAGGTGACCGGAGGCTGCCACCCGCTCTTGTTCTCCAGGAGATGCGCGCGCACACACACACAGGCACACACATACACACACTCAGGTAGAAACCTATTTCTGGGACAACACTAGACTGCATGCATCCTTCTGACCCCTCTGCAATCTCACGGTGGTCAGCCCCCCTCCCCAGTTCTTGGGGAATACTGAATGACCACTGAGTGGGCTGGTCGGGGCCTATTCACCCCACTCCTATTCTACCGCTTAACTCAGGTCTCATCCCAGCACTTCATTCGCCACATCCCCATTTACTGATTCGCTCAACAAATAATTATTGAGCACCTGCTGCATGTCAGACCCTGTTCTGGGCACTGAGGCCACAGCAGTGGACAAAACACAAACAAAATACATCTGCCCACATGGAGGTTAGATTCCTAGAGTGAGCACCAGCCAGTAAACAAACCTGGAAAAATATGTCAGATGGTGTAAGGGCTATGGAATAAAAAAAAAAAAGGCAGGGAAGGAGTAGAGGAAGAGAAATGTTAGAATGTAAATAGGGTGCCCAGGTCAGCCTCTGTGAAAATGACATTTGGGTTTCCTGAAGGAGGTAAAGAAGTGCCACGCAGATATCCACGGTTAGAGCTATCCCGGCAAAAGGGATAGCTGATGCAAAGGCCCTGAGGCAGGAGTGTGCTTGGCCCATGTGGGGAACAGTGAGGAGACCAGTGCAGCTGGAGCAGAGTGAGTGACTGGGAGAGGGGGTGGAAGTGAGGCCAGGGGTAGGGAGGGGGGCATGGAGAAGACTTTGACCTCTACTCTGAATGAAGGAGAAGCCACAAAAGGGTTGTGAGCAGAGAAGGGATGTGGTTTGTTTGAGGATTTAACAGGCTCCCTCTGGCTACTGTGAGGAAAATAGGCTGTAGGGGCAAGGGTGGAAGCAGGGGGACCGTGAGGGGGAGGCTAGTGCAGTGGTCCAGTGACTGACGACAATGGTCGCAGAAGTAGTGAGTGGTGGTCAGATTCCAGGTGTGTTTTGAAAGCAGAGCTAAGAGGATTTGCTTGTGGGTTGTGTGAGAGAGAGGAGTCAAAGATGACCTCAGGGAGGGAGGGATTAACTGATAGGGGACAGGCCAAGGCAGGAGCAAGTTGAAGAGTAAGAGCGTAAGTTTGGTTTTGGCCATCTGGAGTTCTGAGATGCCTGTTAGAGATCTGAGCGCAGTGGCCATGCCGCCTGGCACTCAAGGGAGGTGTCACAGGGCTGGAGGTATGGATTTGTGAGGCATTAGCCACAGAGTGGTATTTATAGCCATGAGGTTGGATGTGATTCCCAAGGGAGTGAATGTAGAGAGAGGCCAGAGAACCAAGGATGAGCCTGAGGGTCCTCCCGCATTTGGGGTCCAGCTAGTTGAAGAAGACCCAAAAGGGAAACAGACAAGGAACAGCCAATAAGGTAGGAGGAAACTGAGGACAGTGTTCTGGAAGCCGAGGGAACGAAGCGTCGCCAGGAGAAGGGAGTGATCGACTGTCCAGTGCTACTGATGGGTCCAGCTGATGAGGCCTGAGACCTGAAAAATGATTTTAAAGGTGCAGACATCATCAACAACCGTGACAGGAACAGCTTTGGAGGAGGGGCAGGGACAGAAGGGGCGGTGGGGAAGCTTGACTGCAGTCAGGTCTGGAGACAATGGGAGAGGAAGTGGAGGGGGCGAGTGCCCACAGCTCTTTTGAGGAACTCTGCTGTAAAAGAAAGAACGGTGGACAGCAGCTGGAGAGAAACGTGGGGTCAAGGCCTGAAGGAAATCACAGCATGTTTGGGAGGTGATGGAAATGATCCAGCCTGTAGGAAGGGGAGGTGGAGAGTGTCAGTAGACGGTCCCTTACGATGACTTTAATATTGTCCGACAAGTAGGGGCCCACCATCCCACTGCATCTCAACTCACCCCTAGTCTCAATTGTTCTCTTCCGTCCCCCACGTCCTCCCAGGTATACCAGTTTTTCAGCTGCCTCCCAGAGGACAAGGTTCCGTATGTCAACAGTCCTGGGGAAAAATACAGGATCAAACAGCTGCTGCACCAGCTTCCCCCACACGACAGTGAGGTGAGGAGTGAGAAGACAGGAACGGCAGGCCAGGTAGTTGGGGGGGGTGGGGGCACAGCCGGGGCAAATGCTAGGCAGCTGGAAAGAAATGCACAGGTTCAGAGGAGGAAAGGGAAGCCGATCTGACGTGAAAGGTGTGGACAGGCAGGGACAGTTGGGCCATTACTCGGCCAAACCACAGCTGAGCCCTGAGCCCTGGGAGAGGAGGTAAGGGGTGGGAATTTCGGGCAGGAAGCACCCCCTTATACCAAGGCCTAGAAGTAAACTCTCTAAGTGTGGATGAATTCTGGAAGGGGAGGGGGCAGGCATGGCGGGAGGAGCCTGGAAGACCCTCCTACCCCAGGCACAGTACTGCACGGCACTGGAAGAGGAGGAGAAGAAAGAGCTCAGAGCCTTCAGCCAGCAGCGGAAGCGGGAGAATCTGGGCCGTGGCACCGTGCGCATCTTCCCTGTGACCATCACTGGGGCCATCTGTGAGGAGGTGAGCCAGGGAGTGCCCCGGTCAGTGAGAGCAGTGCCTTTGCTCTAGGCCCTGGGAAGATGAGGCCTGCCACTTAAGCCCTAGGGGTCTGTCTCTCGTGTCCCCTCTGGTGGATGGGGTCAGTTTCCTTACGTCCCACTGTTAGGCAGGGACCATGCCTTAAGGCCTCCCTGGCCAGCAAGATCTGTCTATAGGGCCCCCTGGTGGACAGGGCCTGTTCCTCAGAGCTCACCGTCCAATGTGGTCGGTCTCTAAGGAGGCCCTAGTGGACCTTCTCTTAGTTCCCTCTTCACAGTGGATGTGAGGCGTGGGCTGTCTCTCTGGTCCTCTTGTGGTTCAGACGTGTCCTTAAGAACTGACCCACAGGGGGCGCCTGGGTGGCTCAGTTGGTTAAGCGACTGCCTTCGGCTCAGGTCATGATCCTGGAGTCCCGGGATCGAGTCCCACATCAGGCTACCTGCTCAGCAGGGAGTCTGCTTCTCCCTCTCCCGCTCCCCCCTCTTGTGCTCTTTCTCTCTCTCACTCTCTCTCTCAAATAAATAAATAAAATCTTGGGGCGCCTGGGTGGCTCAGTCGTTGAGCGTCTGCCTTCGGCTCGGGTCATGATCCCGGGGTCCTGGGATCGAGCCCTGCATCGGGCTCCCTGCTCTGCAGGAAGCCTGCTTCTCCCTCTCCACTCCCCCTGCTTGTGTTCCCTCTCTCGCTGTGTCTCTCTCTGTCAAATAAATAAATAAAATCTTTTAAATAAATAAATAAATAAAATCTTATAAAGAACTGACCCACAGGGGTGCCTGGGTAGCTTCGTTGGTTAAGTGACTGCCTTCAGCTTGGGTCATGATCCTGGAGTCCCAGGATCGAGTCCCGCATCAGGCTCCCTGCTCAGCGGGAGTCTGCTTCTCCCTCCGACCCTCCCCCCTCTCATACGATCTCTCTTTCATTCTCTCTCTCTCAAAGAAATAAATAAGGGGCGCCTGGATGGCTCAGTCGGTTAAGCGTCTGCCTTCGGCTCAGGTCATGATCCCAGGGTCCTGGGATCGAGCCCCGTGTCAGGCTCCCTGCTCCGAGGGAGGCCTGCTTCTCCGTCTCCCTCTGCCTGCCGCTCTGCCTGCTTGTTCTCTCTCTCTCTCTCTGTCAAATAAATAAATAAATAATCACTTAAAAATAAATAAATAAAATCTTAAAAAAATAAAAAGAACTGACCCACAGTGGCAGGGCCTGTCTGTAGGGCCCAGTGGTGGGTGGAATTTGTCTTCAAGGCCCCTCTGGGTAGGTGGAGCCCAACCCTAGATCCTACTGTTGGGGTCTAAGGTGAGGTTTGTCACTAAGGTTCCCCTACTGGGCTTGGCCTGTCTCTTTGATTTCCCCAGCGCCCTGAGGACACGACTTGCCTTTTAGGCCACCCATGATTAGAAGGGCCTGTCTCTGTGGTTTCCCACCCCCAGGAGTCCGGTTGGCCTCTAGGGGACCCTCCCGCGTAGGCAGGGCCCGCCTAAAAGTTGCCCCAAGGTGGAGCCAGTCACAAAGGTCAGCCAGGGGAAGGCCCACGTGCGACAGGCCTTGGCTGACCCCCGTCCATCTGACCATGTCGGCGGCAGCGTCTCTCTGTCATTTGGCAGTGCGGGAAGCAGATCGGAGGCGGGGACATCGCCGTATTCGCCAGCCGAGCAGGCCTGGGTGCCTGTTGGCACCCGCAGTGCTTCGTGTGCTCCACGTGCCGCGAGCTGCTGGTGGACCTCATCTACTTCTACCATGCTGGCAAAGTCTACTGTGGCCGCCACCACGCCGAACGCCTGCGCCCGCGCTGCCAAGCCTGCGACGAGGTTCGCACCTCTCTGCGCCCTCCCCGGGGTGGGAGTGGAGGGTGAGCAGGGCCAGGGGCAGGCCCTTCTGATGGCCGAAGTGGCCCGTGTGTGTCCCCCCCTCCTCCCCCCTGCAGATCATCTTCTCCCCTGAGTGCACCGAGGCCGAGGGCCGGCACTGGCACATGGGTCACTTCTGCTGCTTCGAGTGCGAAGTCTCGCTGGGAGGGCAGCGCTACGTCATGCGTCAGAGCCGCCCCCACTGCTGTGCCTGCTACGAGGCCCGCCACGCGGAGTACTGTGACGGCTGTGGGGAGCACATTGGTGGGTGAACAGGCGACTGGACCGGAGGACAGATGGACGGCTGGGCCGGAGCGCCGCCGCACCAGGATCCTCCGTTATAGTCCATACTTGGAGTCGGGCGCCGGCACCGTAGCCCTCCACCCCTCTCCGCAAGTCCCTCACCAGTATCCCCCATCATGCTGGACCCTCTAAACCACCCCCCTGCACGACCCTAGGCACCACTGCGTATCTAGGCCCACTTCCAGGGTTCCCTCTAATTCCCAGCCCCCTGGGGCTACCCTCTTACTCCTTCAGCCAAGGCCCAACTCCCCAGACTCTAAATAGACTCCTGCATCAGCCTAGGTAAGGTCCTACCTCCTAAGGCACACCCTACCCTCTAAGACCCACTCCTTTCCCACCAAGGCCCCGCCCTACCTTCTAAGCCCTGCCCCTCGCCCACCCACCCAGGCCTTTCCTTCCGTCCACCTTCTACACTCGGTCCACCTGAAGCCACCTCTTAATGTCTAAGCCTGACCCACATCTCAGAGTCCAATGCCCACCCCCAATCTGGGAGGCGGCACCCTGGGAAAGAGAGAAAGGGAGAAGAGGAGACATCAGCCGGTTTCCAGGAGAGAAAGGATGAGGAATCTTAGGGTGAAGCCCAAACCTCGGTTTCCCTGCTTTCTCCAGAGAAGGGCCCCATTCTGGAGAGTTGGGAGGGAGGGCGACTTGAGGTACCCTGCCTCAGATTCCCTGTCTTTTCCCAAGAAGGGGGCCATTCAGGACAGGCAGGGGATATGCCTGCCGGCTCTGCCTCAGTTTCCCCCCCTCTCTTCGGTCCCCGCAGGCCTGGACCAGGGTCAGATGGCTTATGAGGGCCAGCACTGGCACGCCTCAGACCGCTGCTTCTGCTGTAGTCGCTGCGGGCGAGCCCTGCTGGGCCGCCCCTTCCTGCCCCGCCGCGGCCTAATCTTCTGCTCGAGAGCCTGCAGCCTGGGGTCTGAGCCCACGGCTTCGGCGACCGGCCGCCGGAGCTGGAGCGCCGGCACGGTCTCCGCACCTCTCGCGGCATCCACGGCCTCTTTCTCCGCCACGGAGGAAGCGGCGGAGACCGCCACCAAAGGGACCAGCACGGAGCCGGAGCCTGGTAAGCTAACCCTCGAGCCTCGCCCAGCCTCTCGGAGCCCCGCCCCATCTCAAGCCCCGCCCCGCCCCTTGACTCGCCCTGGCCCTTCACCTGCGGCATCCCTGGCCCCGCCCCCACCTCAGCCCCGGCTGCATCCCCCAAACCTTGCTAGGCCTAGTCTCCAGCCCATACTACACCCCCTCGTGAACCCTGGCTCCGCCCCCCTCTGTTACAAGGCCCGTCCCCTAGCCTCAGCTTGTTCCTTCTTGACCCAAGTTCTTCCTCCTTTCCTCCAAACCCCCGACCTTCCACCCTCCGCGCCCAGGCCCCGCCCCCACTCTATGGCTAACTTGATCGGCTTTAGTCGATGTCACCCCCTCCTTCCATCAGAAGCCACGTTTCTATTCCCTCCACCCAGAGCCTGCCCCAGCCCTCACATTTCCCAAACTCCCCCCACCTCGCTGCCCCCCTCCGACCGCTGCTCCCACTTTCCCAGTCCTGATGGGGTGAAGTGGAGAGAAAGCCCTTCCACGGGCCTCCCCTCGGGGGCCAGATAACGGAGTTGCTCCATCTCTTTCCAGTTGCAGGCCCTGAGGAGCCCGCCCACTTTCTGAGAGGGGCCCCCCACCGCCACTCCATGCCAGAGCTGGGGCTCCGCGGCCCCCCAGAGCCGCCCCCGGGACTCCCCAGCCAGCCCGACCCAAGCCCGGAAGATAGTGCCTTTGGTCGCCAGAGCACCCCTCGCGTCAGCTTCCGTGACCCTCTGGTGTCTGACGGAGGCCCGCGGCGGACCCTGAGTGCACCCCCAGCCCAGCGTCGCAGGCCACGCAGTCCCCCACCCAGGGCCCCCACCCGTCGCCACCGCCGCCACCACTACCACCATCACCGCCACCATTCGGGCAGACATCGCCACCGCCAGTGTAACTTGGGATCGGGCTCGGACTCAGGATCTTGCTCCAGCTCATCTTCTAGCTCCAGTTCCGAGTCCTCAGAGGAGGATGGCTTCTTCCTAGGGGAACGCATCCCCCTGCCCCCGCATCTGTGCAGGCCTGGGCCTGCTCAGGACAATGCAGCGGGAACCCCCAAGTCCCCATCTCCACAGCTCCCCAGGAGCTCACGCCCAGGGATGCCCCGCCAGGCCAGAGACAAGAACTGCATTGTGGCTTGAAGGCAGTGTAGTCCTGGAGGGCTCCGTTCTCCGGTCAGTGTAGATGATCCCATCCCCCAACCGAAGTCATAAATCCCCTTCCTCCTTCATCCGTTTGTGTTAATGAAGTAATTTAATATTTGTCAGAAAACAGGCCTGGCTTCTTCACTTCCTTGCTCCAGCCGTCCTCCTCCCCAATTTTCCCCCTCCTGGTGCTTGAGATTTATCCACATTTGACCAAAGGATTAATTTATTCATTATCATATGTTCTAACCATCTGTTTATTTATCCCTCCACAGAACCACCCCCCACACTGAGGACTTTACTTGGTGTGGGTCACAACCTGGGGCCTAGAATCTGAAATCTGAGGTTCCCTCCTCCTCTCATTTTGTGGCTTAAGTGGGTGCATAGTCCGGGCAGAACAGGTGTCTCCTTTTGGGCAGAAGGAAGGGGGACAGAGGCACACCCATTAAAGATGGCCACACCCAGGAGGGACTGGCAGGTAGGAAGACAGATGCTCCCAATAAAGGCACTTGTACTTCAATAAGAGGCTGGGAGTTGGCTGGGAGTGTTGTAAGGGCAGGGAGGAGTTATTCCGAAGGAAGTGTTATTTGCAGGCTTCGGAGAGAAACGAAGGGAGTTCACCTACACCGGGCCATCTGCAGGGTCTGCAAGTGAGGAAAAGAGAGGAAAGCATTGGTAGGATCCATTTCCAGACAAGTAATACTGAAGCTTATGGTACTTATTGGCACTAAAGCCCTCAGTACCAATAAGGGGGCCTTTGGGAGACCCCTTTCCTACTCTCCTCAGCACCCTCAGCAACAGTCCCCCCCCCCCCGCAACACACACACTTACCAGTAGGGGCTGCTGTATGTCTTTGCTGCCTCAAGGGGAAGGTGATGTAGGCATCATAGCCAAAGAGGCTTGTAGCAAGTAGGCCCAGTACCTGAGGGTTGGGGTGGGAGTGAGGGAGGTTGGATTACGTGGTCGGCCTACTCAGCCTCTTGTTTCCTTGTATCTACCACCTCCAATGACTGCCCCCATGCAGGGATGGTGACTAAAAACCCAGATCAGGAAGCCAGAGAGCCCCAGGGATAGGCCAGGAGACTGGAATCGACCCCACCCTCCCTCCTCCTAGAACCTCTCAACACAGGGTAACCACATGGTGGCCCCACATGTCAGTGGCACCATTCACACTGTACATTTGAGACAAAGTTCTAGCAGATGGTAGTCTCACGTGTTGACAAAGAGGCCGCCTCTTTGTGCTTTCCACAAAGGTCCCTGTGTTGCACAAGGCACGGCCTTTTACAGCAAATGATGATCTTGGGAGGAGAACCAGAGCCCGGGCCAGACTTTCCCGCAGGCTCTGAAGACAAGCATGGCCTGCTACGGGCCACATACTTTCCTGCCAAAAGCAGAGGCAGAACTGGCCCCTGGATTCTCAAACCCCTCTGTCTTTGCCTTGGAGTTGCCTCTGTGGCTTTTACCCCTGCGATGATTTTGGAGTGGTTTCCTCCCTCAACAAGGACAACAATGGAGGTGATCAGGTAGAGGATGGCCGCTATGAGGGTTCGGAAGAAATCCTGTGAGGCGTGGGGAGAACAGAGGAAGTCAGCATTCAGAGTTACCAGGATCATCCCCACTGCCCAGGCCCCTTCCTAGCCTCGCCCCTTTCTCACACTCCAAGGCCAGTTGATGATCTGTATCTTGGTGTGCAGGTCGCACATGTAGATGACAAAGAAGATAGCAGCAAGGATCATCTCGACCACCGACAGGGAGGAGTATCCTGGTGTGGAGGCACTGAAGCAGATCAGAATCACCAGGCACAATATCTGGAAGGATGACAGGGGAAAGGGCCCCCCACCCCGGAATCAGCTCCCAGGCCTGAGGGGATTGGTTTAAATTGGAGGTCTCAAACACTCCGATGATGCCTATCAGGACTGGAAAGATGACAAATACTAATAGCTAAACGTTTACTGTGTGCTCATTGTGTCCCAAAAGCTGTTCTAGGGGCTGTACAAGTATTAATTTACTTAATCATCACGACAACCCAATGAGCTGGGTACTGTTATTAGTATCTTTATTTTACAGATGAGAAAAGTGAGGCACAGAGAGGTTAAGTGACTTGTCCAGGGGCACCTAGTAAGGGGTAGAGCTGGGTGCCTCCGCTTCCCTCCCCTTTCCCCTTCCAGCATAGGGGCGGGCTGCAGGGAGTGGTGCCGCCAGGTGTTTGGTGAGCACTGCCGCGGCCAGCTTTAGGGCCTCGACAGGGGCGGGACCTGCGGTTCCCTCGGCAACCCCTTTGGGAAGCGGTGAGAGTGACACCGGAGGGGCAGGGCTCTGTTAAAGGCGTCGCACCCCTTTTACAAGTGAATCAAAGGCGGCGCCCACTTTCAGGGGGATGGGAAACCCAGGCTCCCCGAGCGGCCCGAATGGCTTAGGGACCTCCTGCCCCACCACAGAAGGCAGAGGAAGAACTGGTAAAAGGGCGGACCGCCCAACCCCGTAGGACCAGGGCTCAGGGCCCCACCCCAGTAGGCCCCGCCCCTGGGCGCGCAGCCAGCCCGCCCGCCCGTGCCCAGGCCGCGCCACTCCCTGCCACGGGAGGCCCCCCGCCTCCTAGCCCCCTGGGATCCCTCCGAAGGAGCCCACTGATGTGTCCACGCGGTCTCCCCCCACAGGGCCCCCCATATGCGCTATGGGCCCCTCGCGTCACTCCGTAGCTCAAGCGGCTCCTGACCACCTTCTCCAAACCCCCCTGGCTCGCCCCGAGCCCCTGGTTTCGGGCCTCCACCACTAACCCACCCACCCGCGCCCCACTGCGGAGCGCCTCCAGGCCCGCGCCTGCCTCACCCGGGGCCTCTGGGCTCCGCGTGGTCCAGCCACTCCACCCTGCCTTTGCCCACCCGCCTGTCCCGGGACGCTCACAATCTCAGCAAACAGGAGAATTCCCTTTCGGGTGCGCGAAAAGCTGGTGCAGGCGGCCCAGCAGCCGGGGGCCGAGAGGCGCTCGGAATCCGCCATGGGGTGGGCCGGGGTCCCTAGGGGCGCGGAGTATCTACTCGCTTGCTCGCGGATTCCGAGACGCTGCACACCCTGCCGTCTTGCCCGCCGTCTGGCCGGGAAGGGGGCCCCCAGGGCGAAGGAGGGAGTGAATCACCTCGCGGAGCAGAAGCGGGCGGGGCCGGAGGGGGCCGGGCCAGGTGGCTGCCGCCCCGGAAGCCCCTTTGCCCCGCCCGCCAAGGATACTCCCCGCCGGGCGCGTAGCCCCCAGGGCGCCCCACCTCCGGGGGCGCCAGCCTTTGAGGCTTGGCAGTTCGGAGTACCATGTGCGGTAACGGAGAGGTCTTTTGCGCTTTCGAAATAGGAATGCTTTCGGTGCTGCCTCAGTTCAGAACCTCGGGGATCTGGTTTGGGGCAAGCACATGACTCAGTTTCCTTAGCTGTAAAAATGGCTGAGGCCGTGGTTAAACCCAGGTATGTTTCCAGAATTCTGAATATTTCGGATCTTAGAAAGTTGTGTATTTCTTAACACTCTCAGCGAGGTCTGAGGCAGCCCCGTTTTTAAAAAAATTTTTAAAAAATAGGGGCGCCTGGGTGGCTCAGTCGTTGAGCGTCTGTCTTCGGCTCAGGTCATGATCCCAGGGTCCTGGGATCGAGCCCCGCATTGGGCTCCCTGCTCGGCGGGAAGCCTGCTTCTCCCTCTCGCACTCCCCCTGCTTGTGTTCCCTCTCTCGCTGTGTCTCTGTCATATAAATAAATAAAATCTTTAAAAAAATTTTTTTTTAAATAAACACCTTAATATTTATTCAAGAAAAGGGGTGGAAGTCGTTCACAATAAGTGGGATAAGCCGGAACTGAAAATTGTCCCTCATTAAGTCATGTTAGGTTTTGTAACCAAATGGTGCCCAACACGTGGGAAAGCTATTTCCAGAGCTTTGTGGACTTCACATTTCGGATAAAGGATCATAGTGGGTAGAATAAACCTCTTAGCAGTGATGGAAATGAGACTGCACTAGCGCACAGGCTAAGAGAAAATAGAGCTTGGTGAGTTTCAAGCTGCTCAGTAAATGGGGACAGACATTATTAACGGTGTCACAACCCAGGGGCTGACTCTCTGTTCTGCAATCCTAGGGAGGCCCTGGCCCCAAGCGCTGGGCCTGTTTCCTGGTTCTAAGGAAAGGGGCCACCAGCACCGCCCTAGATGAATGAAGATGGGAAGGAGCCCAGGTTTTTTTACTGCTGGAAGCTTGGCAAGATGAGAGGTAGGCTCTTGGGGTGCCGGTCTGGGGGACAAGGCTGATGACATTTGAAGCGTGTTATCCTAAGCGAACAATTTCCCCTGACTCAGCCTTGATTTCTGCATCTGAGACAGGCACCTGGTCACAGGAATCAGGATCTCCCTGGAGATAATGCTGAGGATCACACTCTCCAGACTGGACGTTGGTTTTATTCTCATCCCATTTGAGGGAAGAGTTGTGGCTGGAAGGCCAACACAGTTAAACCCAAGGGCCTGCCTGCACCACCACCCCTCAACCTGGGGCCCCTCAAAACCAAGGAAAGGGGCACCCTTCTATCAGTCCAGGTTGCTGAGAGTGGTTGGGTGGTGGAAGGAGTGAAGCACACTTTTCCCAGCTTGTGCTTTCCAACTCTGTGAGAACATGTCTGAGTTTCTAGAACAAAACAAACTCTGCTCCACCTCGGGCCCTTTGCACTTGCTGCTCTCAGGGTTGTCAATGCCCTTCCCCAAGCTCTTCATACATTTGGCTTCTGGTCATTCAGGTTCCAGCTCAAATGTTGTCTTCAAAGAAACCAGCAGCCCATCATCATTACTTCCTCCAATGTAACCTCCTTTTGCTATCTTTATAACTCTGATCTCTCTCTCTGAAGTTATCTTTTATTTATTTTCTTTTCTTTCCTTTCCTTTTCTTTTCTTTTCCAACATAGGTCTACACAAGGTTAGAAATCTTTTATGTTTTGTTTCACCAGCATCTCCCCAGTGCCTATCACAGTGCAAGGTAAACAATTGGGGCTCAATTATTACTTGTTAAATGCAGGTGAGATTAAAAGGACCGGCTCGGGAATCGGCCTTCATTAAATCTTGCTTCAACCCCCTCCCTGGAGCCATTTATACTGTCTGGACCTCACTTCCCTCCCCCCCCCCCCCCCCCCCCCGTGAAATGGACATGTCAGGATTGTTGAGCAGATGTGTAAGTAGATGAAAATAGATACTGCAAGTAAAGCCAGTAGCTGGAATAAGGCTAAGTGAATGGTGGCTGGGGTTACTATTATTAGTCTCCTGGGTGTGACTGTGTTTATAGGACTGGAGCTCCTTACTTCCCTAGAGCCACACCTCCACCAGGCTCTGAGTCAAGGGTAGCTGGAAGCCCCAGCGCACTCCCCATAATGTCCACAGTGATGACCATTCAAGCATCCACCTCTTCACCTCTTTATACCCCAGCTCCCAGTCTGGCTTTGAGGTCCCTCTCTCCTCCCAGCGTCAGCCTGGAAATTCACACTCGGGTCTTTTAATTTGTCTCCCCTCTCCGGTGGGAGTTGCGCATTCCCGCCTGACCACAACTTCCTTCACTGGGGGGTGCGGGGGTGGGGGGATGGGGGTGTGGTGGGGGTGGGGGCCAAGTATTCAGGTTGTGGTGACAAGCGGAGGTGACTGGACATTTCTGGCCTGGGCCAGCGCTGGCTTCGGGGCCATCCCGGTTGGAGTCCCGCTGGCCAGATAAGCCCTGCCTTTAGGCCTCTGCTCCCAGGATGGAGGAAACTCTGGCCTCTCCCACGACCAGGAACGCCCAGCATGTGGCGTGTGCACACAAGCCTGGCTGCAGTTCGTCACCATCTATGGAAGAGGGGGCGCGGCTCAAAGGCTCTAACAGCCTTTTTTAGCCCAGCCCGCTGACTCACACCTTGCTGGCTCCGCCCCAAAGGGGGCTCCAGGGCCCCAGCCCATGCCCTAAGGGTGTCAGTCTACGTGCCAGCGAAAGCTGGCCGACCAAGGCCGGAAGTGAGAGACCACAGGCTCCTTGTGAAGGAAGCCACCCTGGTTCTAACCTTGCTATCGGGCCATCAGCTGATGTTCTGGACGATTCCTGCCTGGGGCTGGGGGTATTCAGGTGCACTCCCGCTACAACGGCCCACCTCTGCATTCCCCACGCCGGGAGCAAAGATTATCCGTGAGCCCCTCACACCTCCCCAAAAGTGAAATGAATGAACGCGGAGAGAAGCAGGAGTTGGAGAAGAAAAACGGAGTGGGGAGAAAGCACGCCAGGCTGAGGATCGGCACAAGCGGACCCCGCTAGAGGCCCACAGCACGAAGTAAACTTGTCAATGGTTACAAGAAGAGGCCCTCCTTGAAACCAGATCGACCCACCCCGTCCTTTGCGGGGTGAACTCAGGAGCCCCACCCGGCCTAGAGCACCTGGCAAGTCAAGACTGGGTCAAACCATTTTATTACCTCCCCCGCTCAAAACCAGAAGCGCAGGGCTGGCCCGTCCGGAGGGCTGTACCACTGACACTGCGTGGGGAGCGCAGGCTGGTCCGCGGCACAGCAGGAGTGGGGGTGGGGCAGGACCAAGTGGAAGCTCTCCCAGCGATGCTAGTGTGCGGTCGGCGGAGCACACCAGATCCAGGCTGGGCAGTACCAAGTGAGCATCGGACCGTCCCATACCTGTTCAGTGCCTCCGCCTCCCAGCTGCCATCTCGAGAGCAAGCTGCGCGGCCCCTGGGATCCCTAGGGCCCGCGAAAGCCGTTCCTCACTCGGCACCAGCCAGGGTCCCGGGGAACCCGGGGTTCGGTCGTCAGGGTCCTCTGTGCGGCGCTCAGGAGGAGAAACCGCGGGGCAGTCGGCCGGCGGCTCTGGGCTAGGCTCTGGGCTGCCCGGGGTTTGGGACGCTGTACCGGATGGAGGGTGCTGAATTGGGGAAGCACTGACGCTGCGAGACCTCATCACCTCTGGTCCACCAGGATCTGGGCTGCGATCTGGGGATGGCAGACCTGCGGGTTAGATTGGGCGAGAGGGTGGGGAATGGAAAGCCGAGCCCCCGGGGCTGAGGGCAGCGGGGAGACTCCAGGGGCTACAGGAGACAGAGACCCCACTCCTTAGAGAAATCTCCCTTTGAGGCCTGGACAAACCATTCAGGAACCGTTACCACCCCTCAAGACTCCCCCCCCGAACACACACAAACACACACGCTTTTCCTGAGACCCCCCCCCACTTCTGGATCCAGGACATGCCCCCCCCCCAAATAATTTACCACAATCCCAAAGGAAATCAAACCCTGACCTTGACCTCCAGATGCTAAACCCCTCCCATCTAGGACCCCGGACTATCTGCCTCGACTCCCAACCGTTTTCGTATGGACCCCTCAGCTTTGGAACTAGATCCCCACCCCCACCCCCCCACCCCCGCACCCTCTGGATCCCCATCCCATCCTCTCCCTGCTGAGACCCACTCTGCCTTCTCATGAGAGGACCACAGCTCTTCCTTCTAAACACCTGCTTTTACCCCAGACCCCTTCCCCCTTCTCTTCTCCCAGTACCTCAAAAGCCTCCCCTCTAAAATCTACTTTTATTCCTATCCTGGGACCCTGCCCTTCCTGATCCTGCTTTTGAGAATACCATGACCCCTCAAAGACGCTAAACTCTGACCTCCCCACTGAGACCACCAACCCCTCCCACCCTGGACCCCAGCCTCTCCACTTTGCAACCCTCTCCCTCGGGAAACCCACCATCTCCTTTCTGGGGCCCTCCCACCCCTTCAGGCTTGCCGGGGTGGGTTTCAGGGGGCCTGCTTAGTACGAGGCGGAGACGGGGGCCGCCTGCGCGAATGCGCTCCACCACCTGGGCATGGGTGAGGCCCTGAGTTGACTCTCCATTGATGTGGAGCACGAGGTCCCCAGCCTACAAGAGTGCAAAGAGAGGGGTATTGTAGAAAGCAGATAGAGAGCACCCCCACAAAGGGCGAGGATTGGGCTAGCACTGTTGAATGGACAGCGTCTTATACCTCACCTGCAAGCGACCAGAGCGCTGTGCTGGCCCGTTTTCCAGCAGCCCACGCACTGCCAGAGGAGCATCCCCTGCTGAATCTCGGCCTCCGCTTAATGTAAAGCCAAAGCCCGTGGAACCGCGAACCAATTCCACGCAGAACCGCCCAGAGGTCTGGAGCGGCTTCGAAGCAGAACGTGCCTTAGCCTGGGTCACTTGGGGTGGCGCGGGACCTGTACCCAATGTCTCTGACCGATGATGCTGGAGTAAAAACACAAGCGTACATACATTGCCAGTCTCAAAGCAGGTGGCATCCAATAAAAGGGCGAGGTGGTACCTGCGGCCGGTGTTCCACGAAAGTAGGATTAGGCAGCCGACTGTCTGTAACCTCTATGTCCGCAGAATCCAGCACACTAACGGCTGGAAGATGAAAAAGACAGTCAGAGGGGTACTCTATGGAAACCACCTAGGACCTGCCCCCTGATTTAACATTCTAGCCTCACCTCACTTCCTTGACTCTAGAATGCAGACTGACACATCCACCTATTTAACTGGGCTCAGCCCACATGAATAACTGACCTGAGCCCGACTTTTAAGTAAGAATCCTGGGCCCAGCTATTCGAATACACCTCCAGACCATCCTATAGTCCTCTAAGAACGCGAAGATCCCGCTCCTCATATTACATCCTTAGGCCCCCACTGCGGGGAGAGGGGGGTGCAAATCCATGATTGGGCTCCTGAACTTTTCAGGCTCCGCCCTCTAACTGGCCTCTAAACTTCAACCCATATCTGACATTTCGATCCCTCCCCCTGGCGTTTGTAGGCTCCACCCCCTAGAGTGGATTTTTTTTTTCCAGGCCCGCCCCTCAGCCAACTGCCCGCCCCCAACACTCTCCAGGCCCCACCTCCTCAGAAATGCCTTGCGAAGCCCCAGTGACAGGGATAACCATCCAGCCCTGCACCCACAACGAGCCATGCAACATTCACCCAACGCAATAACTTTCCCAGGGTCACCTCCTGGAGGAATAGTCTAGGATACCGCCAAGGCTCCGCCCCCTCGAAGCTCCCTCCAAGCCCCGCCCCGCCGCCAGTCACATTAGCCCCACCCAGGGGAGTAACTAACAATCCCGGGTCCGCCACTTCGGAATCCGGCTCCACTCAGACCGCGCCCCGCGGGAGGCCCCGCTCCGCCCCCGACACGCACCCGCGTTGGGGCGCAGGCGCAATGTGGCGCCCGTCCTGCGTACCAGCGCCGCCACGTCGGCCGCAGCTCGGGCCGCCAGGGGGCGCGCGTCCAGCCGCGCCAGGAGCTGCCGGGCTCTGGGGCCCGCCCGCAGCGGAAGGCCCCGGCCTGCGCGGGTGGAAAGAACAGGTCAGCACCCGCCCGAGCCTCGGCGAACCCCCACGCTCCCCGACGTCCGAAACCTAGAATGCCCCTCAAGATCTTCGGAGCCCCCCCGGCCACTCTCTCGATAGTTCCGGAGGTCTCCCACTGCCCCTCCCAACTCCCGCGACCCCCGACCATCGCGGGTATGCCCGTGGACCCCCGCCTGCGCCCACGATATCCCTGGAGAGAGCTATCTGACCGAAGTATTCCTGGACACTTCCCAGCACCCTGGGACTATCTCTGGAGGTCTCCGACTGCCCCTTCATAACCCCAGATTCCAAAGTCTTCCCGCACAGTAGCGAGAGGGACCCCGATTCCCCCAGATGTCCCGACAGAGGACGGTCTGCCCCTGCTGTGGCGCCGGCAACCCCGATTCCCCTTCCAGATATCCTAGGCAACCTTGATGGCCCACGGAGCTCCAGTTGCCCCTCCATTTATACCCAGAGGCCCCCCCGCCTAACCGCCACCCCCCCGCAATTCACTACAGACCCTGAGTGCCCACGGGTGTCCCCAGTGACCCCAAGGCAGAGCCCTGTGGCACATCTCCCCGGAGACTCCTGAGAGCCCCCGGGTCTGGTGCGCAGCCCCGCGGTGCGGGTGCGGGTGCGGGTGCGCGTGCGGGTGCGGGTGCAGGTGCAGGTGCGGGTCGGGGACCTCGAGCCCAACGCCGGCCGCCCGGCGCCCGCCCGCCCGCCCGCCCGCCACTTGGGCGCCAGGGCTGCTTTGTTTACCACCTGTCGGAAGGAAAAGGTGAGGAGCAGACAGACGGGGCGAGGGCTGGCAGGGACGCGCCCAGGCCCCCCCTCCCCCGTACCTCCTCTGCTCCCCCTGGGGTCCGTGGCGCCCCCCGCGCGCGGCTCCATGACCCGAAGTCCGCCGGGTGGACGCAAGGCCGCCGGCGGCGCGTGTGGAGCTCCTGGGCGCGCTCACCTGGCGACCCGCCCGGGCCTGGATGCGGCTGCGGCCGGCCGGTCCCGTGCCCCGAGCCCCGACCCGCGCGCTGACCTACCTGGCCGCCGGCAAGGAGGCCTGGCTGTGGGAGCCAGCGCGAGCGCTTGGCCTCGCTCTGCCTCAGGCGCCGCCTCTGTTAGCCCCGGAGCCTGGACTGGGCTCCTTTTCCACCCAGGAGGGGTGGTTAGTCCACGAGCGAGAAGGGGAAGTCGAGGCCCAGAGAAGTCAAGGGCCCCGCCCGAGCTCTGACAACTAAGAACGGGGGTGCAGAAGTGGAGCCCACGTTTACCAGGGAATTCTGCAGCCTGTAACGGAGCTCTGCTCAGAGTAGGGCGGGCACTCAGTAAACTTGCAGTGAATGTTTTCTACTTGGGAAATGGAAGAGTCTGTCGGGCTGGGCGGCTGCGGGCGGGGTGGGGGGTGCTTGGAGCCTTGGGGGCCATGGGAAGGTTTGGGGCCCTGAGCATGATAGGGCTGGGGGACTCCAAAAGCCGGGAAGGGCAGGTGCCCTGGAGAGTGGAGGGGCGGTAGGGGCCTGCACTTGAGGAGGCTTTCAAGGCCCCTGGGTGGGAGGGGTCGCCAGCCAATGAGAGGGGAGAAATGAGGCCCCTCTTAGGTATTGAAAGTGGGGGGTGGCCTGGAGGCAGAGGTCCCGAGGGGGGGAGCCCTTGGGCACAATGCTACTGCAGTGGAAGGAGGAATGGGGTGCAGTGAGAGACAGCCTGTGACCACCACTTTGTAGAGGAAGAAACTGGGGCCACAGGGGCTCAGACACTTACCTGTCCGGGACCCCACAGCCAGCCAACGACAGCACGGGCCTCAGGCAGCTTACCCCCAACAATCACTGGGGCTGTGACTGTTTCACTATGGACACTGTGGACACTTTCACTGTGGACACACTGTGCCCTGACGTCCATTCTGGGGGGCCGGGCAGCCTCTCTCATCCACCTTTGTCCTAAGTGAGAGGGGGTGAATGGTCCCTGCTTCCCTTCCTCCTGGGATCTCTTGGCCCTCCCACCTCTGACCTGACCTTGTCTTGGGGGGGGGTGGAATACACTGGACCTCATTCACTGCTCTGCCCTGTTCTTATGCCAACCACCTGGGGATGTCATAGTTCCCCAAATTTTGTGCACTGTTTTTCCCACCATCCTTCCTTTGCCTGCACTGTGTCCTCTGTATAGGAGCCCTTCCCAGTCTTTTGTCCACCTGAAACAGGACTGCATGTTACCAAGACCCAGTTTTAAGGCTTCAATATTCCATTCATCTATTTCTGAAAAGAAATGCAGAAGATGGATGATGGGCTATGTAGAATTGTAAACCAACGTGAATTGTAGTGGGGACCCTGGATGGTGGGTGGAGGTTCACTGAGAGCTGAAGCCAGCAGGTCCACAAATCTGGGGACAGGGGCAAGGATTGGGTTGAAGTAACAGTTCTTAGGTCACTAAGGCTGTTGGCAGGGTTGGGGGGTGGGGGTGGGGTCCAGACAGAAGCCCAACCCTCGTTACAGGAGGTGGAACCCTAGCCACCACTTTATCTGGAGCCTCAGTGTACCCCTCTAGGAAGTGATGGTAATGGGGTGTGCATTGTAAAATAGTCAAGAATTTAGGAATAAAGCTTCCAAATCACCTGCATTGGGGCCAGCCAAGCTATGTGGTTAGCAGCCCTGGTGTTTATCTTTAATCTATATTGATTACTCTCAGAGTGGACGGAACCAAACCCTCTCTCAGCCCCACTCCATAGTGGGTTTAAACCAATGCCTTAGCCTTGTCCATTCATGAATATAAACCTCTTGCCCCTTTTCACCTCACCTCATTCATGGATTTAAGTCAATTCTTCTCATAGCCCTACCCAATTCTTTTTTTTTTTTTTAAGATTTTATTTATTTATTTGACAGAGAGCGAGAACACGAGAGAGGGAACACAAGCAGGGGGAGTGGGAGAGGGAGAGGCAGGCTTCCCGCGGAGCAGGGAGCCCAATGCGGGGCTCGATCCCAGGACCCTGGGATCATGACCTGAGCCGAAGGCAGACACTTAACGACTGAGCCCCCCAGGCGCCCCTAGCCCTACCCAATTCTTAAGAATTTAATCAAGCTTTTTTTTTTTTTTTTTTTTTTAGCGGATTGAGGTTTGACAAAAATCTGATGCCTTTTTAACTGTGTTTATATCTGTGAGACTATCATTACAATCAGGATAGGAAACATAATCCTCCTGCCAAAAGTTATCTTCCTGCTGCATAATTCCTCTTTCCTGTGTTGTGCTCTCGCCAGCCACTGATTTATTCTATCACATTAGTTTGCATTTTTCTAGATGTTTAAAATTGAAATTGAGGGGCGCCTGGGTGGCTCCTAGGATTAAGCGTCTGCCTTGGGCTCAAGTCATGATCCCAGGGTCCTGGGATCGAGTGCTACGTAGGGCTCCCTGCTCAGCGGGGAGTCTACTTTTTTCTCTCCCTCTGCTGCTCCCTGCTTGTGCTCTCTCTCCCTCTCTCTCTCTGTCAAATACCTAAATAAAATCTTTTAAATAAATAAATAAAATTGAATTTGACACACAATGTTACATTAGTTTCAGGCACACAACATAGTGATTCCTCACCACAAGTATAGCTACCATCCGTCACCATACAACATATTACAGTACAACTGACTATATTCCCTATGCTATACCTTTCACGCCATGACTTTGTTCCATAACTGGAAGCCTATACCTCCCACTTCCCTTCACCCATTTTGCCTATCCCCCCACCCCTTCCCCTCAGGCAACCACCAGTTTGTTCTCTGTATTTATGGTTCTGTTTCTGCTTTTTACGTTTGTCCATTTGTTTTGTTTTGTTTTTTTTAAAGATTTTTATTTATTTATTTGAGAGAGAGAGAGACTGAGAGAGAGAGCACATGAGAGGGGGTAGGGTCGGGAGGGTCAGAGGGAGAAGCAGACTCCCCGCCGAGCAGGGAGCCCGATGCAGGACTCGATCCAGGGACTCCAGGATCATGACCTGAGCCAAAGGCAGTCGCTTAACCAACTGAGCCACCCAGGCGCCCCTCCATTTGTTTTGTTTTTTAGATCCCACATATAAGTGAAATCTAGATTTCTATATAAATGGAATCATACAGTATGTACTCTTTTTGGGGAGCAGGTCTGGCTTCTTTCACTAAGCATGGTTATTTTGAGATTTGCCAAAAGTTCAGAAATAACAGAAGTAAAACCAATCAATCAACAGAGTAGCAATTAGTAAATTTTATTGTGCACACAACAAGAAAATAGTTTGCAAACTAGGAGCACTCAAACCAAAACATGGGATGAAGCTCAGGGGTATATTGTTATAAAGCAGTTTATACAGTGAGAAAGTGGTGACTGTTTATTCTTCACAGTGATTGGTTATCATATTAGAATTTTCTTCAATGATAGAGAATTGGTCAGTGGTAACTTCATATCTACCTTGGGAAACAGTTTAAGTTTTGTTTATGATTTCCAGAAACCTAAGCAAGAAATGACCCAGGTCAAGTTAGCCTTGCAAAATAAGCTAAGTTGAACTCTGTTTAGGGGCGCCTGGGTGGCTTAGTTGGTTAAGTGACTGCCTTCGGCTCAGGTCATGATCCTGGAGTCTCAGGATCGAGTCCCGCATCAGGCTCCCTGCTCAGCAGGGAGTCTGCTTCTCCCTCTGACCCTCTCCCTCTAACCCTCTCCCCTCTGACCCTCTCCCCTCTCGTGCTCTCTCTCTCTCAAATAAATAAATAAAACCTTAAAAAAAAAGCACTTTGTTTATATGTCCAAACTGGTTTTGTTTCCTCAGGAAATTTTTTAGGTTGATCTCCGTTTGTTTTTGATTTTAACAGATCCATCCAAATTTTTCATTCCATTTTATTGCAGAGTAGTATTCCACTGCATGAGTATTTCACAGTTTGTTGATCCACTCACATGTTGATGGATATTTGGGTTGTTTTCAGTTTTTGGCTATTAATGAATACTGTGGGCTGAATTGTATTGCCCCAAAATTCATATGTTGAAGCCTTAACCCCCAATAGATAGTCTTTAGGAGGTAATTAAGGTTAAATGATATCATAACAGTGAGATTCTAAACCCATAGGATTGAGGCCTTATAAAAAGACAAAGAGAGCCTCTCTCTTTCCCTCCCTCCATGTGAAGATACACATAGAAGGTGGACATTTACAAGCCAGGAAGAGAGCTTTTACCAGGAACTAAATTGGCTAGTACCTTGATCTTGGACTTCACAGCCTCCAGAACTTTGAGAATTAAATGTCTGTTGTTTAAGCCACCTTCTATAGTATTATGTTATGGCAGCCTGAGATGACTAAGACAACAAATAAAGCTGCTATGAACATTCATATACAAGTCTTTGTGTAGATACATTCTTTCATTTCTTTTAGGTAAATACCCAGGAGTGGAATGGCTGGATCATATATCCGTTCAATTTAAGATACTGCCAAACTGTTTTCTAAAGATGCTGTATCATTCTACATTTCTATCATCAGTCTCTGAGAATTCCATTTCCTCCATATCTTCTCCAACAGTTGGTATTGTCAGACTTTTTTACTTTTAGCCATTCTGAAATGTATACAGTGGTTCTTCATCATGATTTTCACTGGCTTACCCAAAAAACTAATAATAATTGAACATTGTCAACACAATTATTTGCCATCTATATATGTTCTTTGATAAAGCATGTGTTCAAATATTTTGCCTATTTATATGGGGTTGTATTATTAAATTTGGGGCATTATGTGTATATTATGGATACAATTCTTAAGAAGAGTGATTTGCATTGTCTTTTTTTTTTTTTTAAGATTTTACTTATTTATTCATGAGAGATAGAGAGAGAGAGAGGCAGAGGCAGAGGGAGAAGCAGGCTCCCCGCGGAGCAGGGAGCCCGATGCAGGACTCGATCCCAGGACCCTGGGATCATGACCTGAGCTGAAGGCAGACGCTTAACCGACTGAGCCACCCAGGCGTCCCTGCATTGTCTTTTGAAAAGCAGAAGTTTGGGGCAC